GAGAAGTCGTGCCACTGTAATTTTTTTAAAACAAAAGATCCCATGTCTGAATGATTCATTGTCACCTCTGAAGTAATAAAATGACCAAAAAAAAAAAAAAAAGACAATTTTTTTCCTTTTAATCTGACTCCGGGGGAACTGTGCTACTGCTTGTCACCAGTAGTACCAAAAGCATTTTCTAATTCATGCCTGACACTCTCACTTAGCTTATTTTATATACAGCATCTCCACTCTGCAAGGGCTCGTCTGGCTGGAGTATTAACTGTAGACTTCCAATGAGGAAGATATATAAGATATATATTAATGTCAGGAAATAAATAAACAAGTCCATAAACAAGTGTGTGTGGAAGGGGGACACACCATGTGGTACCCAGAAGAAATAATTATAAATAGGTGGCAAATCCTATTTATCAGAGGGTCCTCATTTTGTATGAAAAACATTTCCCCGGATCACTTTCAATTAGGATTTAGGTGGGTTGGACACTAAAAACTGTCTTCATCCTTTTGTGCAGAATTAGTATTGGTGGGAAAGAAATATTGATGCATGAATGAACTGTTATATTCCTTGACATAGTATATGGCTATACTGATCAACATACTAAAAATGCCAGCTGTTAGAAACTACACATGAAAAGGGACAGCTGCATATCTTTAGGAGTTTCCAGGATTCATTTGTTTGACAAGGAAAGGCAGAGATTATTGAACTGAAGAATGTCCTGATTTTAAAGTAGGGATTCCCTATTTTATATAAAATATGTATATATACATACTTCACATGTAGGCAACAAGTCACAGCATTTTTATTGTACAGTCTGGTGTGGTTCAATAATTATTTGGTTGCTGTCAGATGGTTCTTGAAGGGTTGAGATAAGCCTGGCACATATTTACCATTTTAGGCTGGCACAGGCACATCTGTCCTTGTAGTCCATGATAGAGTCCTCTAGAACCATTTTAGTTTAAACTCTAGAAGACAATAGATCTTTTAAACCAGTGGTCCTCAACCTTTGTGGCTCCATGGGCTGGCAACAAGGGTGGTGGTTTAATGCACACAATCTAGATCCCACGGATACTCAGATGAAGGTTTGTGTGCTCACCCGCTGCTTGCATGGCCTTGTTCCCAACAGGCCGCGGATCAGTATAGATCCATGGCCCAAGGTTGGGAATCCCTTTTTAAAACTGATCTGTGTGTATATTTTATGTACTAGACCCAAGATATGGTTTTTAAAAGAGGAGAACAGCAATTAGATTAAAAATTTTCCTACGACAAGAAAAAGTCTAAGTGAAGTAATCCCAAGATTTAAATTGTAGTACTATCAATATGCTAATGCCATACCAATTTCTCTCTTTTTAATTTGATGCAAATAAAACAGTGGACATCCTTAACTAGTGCTTGGCCATGATACTGAACTGATGCCAATAAAATGAACATAGTCAAGGGAGATACTACTAGTGACAACTGTCCATGTAAGTACCATTTAGCCAAAGGCCATATTCTCAAAATGGTTTGAAACTTCATTACTGAGCTTGATGGGCTGCCTATCCTTTCTCTCTTTCTAATGTCTTCTCTTTTTATTTTCTCTTAAATTGTCATGATGGAATAGATTATTTTTTTAAAAAAGATCTGAATAGAATGCTTATCAAAGGCCTGTAAAATTAGATCAAGGGCCATATAAAATTAAGCTTAGGGCTGCATGTTTACTTTGAAGTTAAGGTTACACAGTTTAGCACTAAAGAACATCAAATCTATTATTTGGGAATGCTTGGAGATTTATATTTGTCAACACAAGTTTTCTTTGACCCACTCATTGCATTTTTCCAGCTCAGCTATGTACCTTAGATACAATATAACCTGGGCAGAAGTAGGTTGGCTTAACTGATCCATGACTTTCCAATTAAAATACTACAATAAGCAGTTGCTGGGGCATGGTGGTTTAGTGGTTTAAATGACACTGGAGATGGTCTCAGCTCAAACAGTTCGATCCCAAGCACTGCAAGGCAGGGTGAGCTCCTGTCACTCGCCTCAACTTCTATCTATTTACATTTCGAAAGCATGTTCTATGCAAGTAGATAGATAGGTACCACTTCAGTGGGGAGACAAGCTGGTGCTCTGTGCAGGTTGTCAGATTCCTGACAGCTCTGAACTTTCCTGGTTGTGGCACCCATTTGTGAGGCAGTTCTGGGGAGAGAGGGGGCCTGGTGATGCTGCAGGTAGAGCTGCTAGTCTTTCTCTCTGGTGTGAAGCCAGCTCGCCCTCCTCTGGCACACCTTGAGAAACACACATTTCCTATAACAGGGCTAGTACCTTGGCAAGCCAAACTAATCTTCTACAATAGCATTGTGGTCTTTTGGCTACTGTAACAATGCCATATACTAATAATAATAAGTAGTTGGAACTTCAGATGAAACCTAAAGAGCTTGCTGTCCTATAAATTCCTGAAACTTGGGCAACAATTGTGGTACTTTTGCTTGGTAAGAGTGTAGCAATGCAGAAAATGTCTACCAACTCGCCATTGCAAAAACAGAACAAGCAAAGGGAGTAGCCATAATATGTGGCAATTTAGATCCATTGTTCATATATTTAAGAAAACATTCTAATTTCCACAGATGTCCATGTAAGAGAATCAGTCAGTCATTGCTGATTATCTACTCTGTCTTTGATTTTCTATTCCAAAAGCAAAAAAGAGAAATATATTAAAATAGTAATAAAATGAAGAAAAATAAAGGTAACACTTTATAAAATAAAGTGCTAATGTCATGCTAAAACATTCAAGTAACCTGTTCAGTAATCTGTCTACTGTATTCCAGTAAAGGAATATACCATCTCCCATCTACTTGAAATCTATTTCCTTTACTTTCAGCTCCAAGCAAATATTTTTCTTCTTTCAGTCTTTTAAAGTTCTCTTTATATTGTGCCTCTGTGTATAAATATCTCATGCTGCTATTTTTAAAAGTGTTATTGTGCTATTTTATAATGAATTTATGTAATTTTTTATCTGTGTTTACCTTGAAAATCATTCTGAGTCCTATTACTATAAACTAGCTAGTAAATCTTAAAAATTAAATATATATCATGCTTGGAAAAAATTAATATGTTTGCAATAGAAACATAATTTAATGGAAATTGCATAATCTATATAACACATGAGAAATAAGTACCATAATGTGATAAATCTGGAAAAGAATCAGTAACATGAAATTGTCCTCTTTGGTCAAGATACTATAGTTTAATGTTCAGTCTCTGTAGATGCAAGAAATTGTCCTGAGAATTTTATTCAAACCTTGAAAAAGAAATGCACGTTTCATATTTTAGCTAATCACAATTCAGATGAACACAACGTATTCAAAAACAATTTTTCTCCATTGAGCAGTTTACTATTCACAACATTTTCCTGAGGCCCCAATTTAGGATTGTCCTTTAAATTAAAAGACTATTTATTTTAAGCACTAAAGAACACTATTAGCATACCTTAATATATTCATAATCTGATGCCATCTGCCCCTATAAACATTGCATGATTGATACTTTTTCCTTAACCAAGGAACTAAACAACTAACTAAATTCCTTTTTCTAGTGAGGCATTTATGGTATCAATAGGTTTCTGTCACATAGATCTTTCCCTTTGGGTGATACTACTACTGGGTAGTGATGCTATTCCTGCATAGCAATATGAAAAAAAAAATTACCATCCATTTTTCTAAAGTCTATAGAGCAGACAGAAAAATCAAAATATGACCCATATATAGATTTGCAACCACGGTGACTTATTTTCAAACACAAAAGTAGTAAAATGTGCATATTACTAAATTAATGATTTCACATCATTTTAATTGCCTTTTCCTTCATAATCCTATATATCTTTAAAATATTATATATGGTCTGTTTTAAACTAAAGGGTTAGGGATGTTACATAGGTCAAGCCCTCATATGGGTATTACATGACTTCCACATACATGTGTGTGTGTGATGTGTGTTGGGGGGTGTTTATGTTTACAAAGTATATATTCTATATATTTTTATTATATTGACCACTAGAGACAGTGCTGTACATGACTGGTTTCATCTATTTCAGATTCATAGAAACATAGAAACATAAGTCTCTATGTATGCTCAATGAGTTGCAAACAAGACAAAACTAGTCATGTTTTGTCTCTTCCCAATCCTGGAAATTAGAATTTGGTAAGGGCAGAAATTCTTACACAAATTCTTTCTCCTCTGACATTACATATCTAGACTTGAAAGTAAAATATTTACATTGCATATATGCAATACTAACTTAGTAAACAGAATATATCTGCTCTCGAATCCAAAGAATGGGGAGAATCAATTGTTCTAAAGTACAGTAGACAATATTTTTAGCCCAACCAGCGTCCACAGATGAACTGCACAAAGGAAAGTTTTCTTCAAACCCTAAGGAGTACCACATATAATTTGTGAGGGCTCCCTACGAATGTGTTTAGACATCCATATACAAATGTACTGGGTTCTTACTAAACTTATCCTTTAGATAATTCCATTCCATAATATTCTTTCCCTGCTGTTATTTGCAACAGAAAGGGCAATTTAAGCAAGCCTGCTTGAGGGGGGAGGAAATGGTGGGAGAGCTTTGTTCCCATCTCATAACAATCTCATTGCACATCATTAGCACTGGAGAAAAGCAATCTTTTTCCTCTGCCTGGCTATAGGCTGATGGACAAAGAAATCCCAGGAGTGCAAGCGTGCATGCGCTTTTACACAGAAAAGAGAGAGAGAGAAAGAAAAAGAGAGAGAGAGAAAGTACCATGTCTATAAATTGCTTATCTGTGTCTTAAAGTTGATTTGATCCCTTAGTCCTAAAAGATGTTACACATCTTTATTCATATATTAACAGTAAATAAAACTCATACTTGTAGAAAAATTTATTTGCATATTAAGAAACTGGGTTTTACTTAAAAAAAACCTGCATGTCAAGGACAGAGTAGAAAAAAATTACTAAAAACAAACACTTTTAAATAAGACTTACCTCAATTATTTGTAGGAAATCAAAATTCTCTTCAGTGTTTTACATGTGATTGACCTTTGCCATAAATGTTTTTCCCAAAAGCTTTTGTGCTTTCTCCAGCTTCCACTTGTAGTCTTACATTCGGTACAGAAAAAATAGATGACACTGTAAATATATATATATATATATATTTCAGATTACAAAATTTTAGAAAAGAGAAATATACTGCTTTCTCAGCCAACTTCTATACAAACAAATTTTAAAAGAAGAAAAAGCATAAAGATACTAGAGACAATAGTATTTGAAGACCAAATTTTCTAGGGCTTCTGTGTGTAATGAAATAAATGAAGAAGCAGCTGGTACAAACCCAGATGTTCTCAGCAAAGATCATTAAATATTCAATATTTAATATTTCCTTAAATGTTTTAAATATTTAAATTAAAATATTTAAATGAGAATATGATCAAGAGTGAAATGTTTTCTTGAAAAAGATCAACTCCAATTATCATTATTATTTTCCATAAAACAAAAGTTATGAATTTTATCAGGACTAATTAAGAACATGTGATTCCAAGTACTGCATTTCCAACCTACTGTCATTGCTTGCCTGAAGAAAAATAATATCCAACTGAGAAACTTCAGAAAATATGTTCCCAAAGCTGTAAGAATCTGTCATGTATCTGATGCTTATTTCTATTAATATAATACCAATCCTCATCCTTAATTGTATCCCTATAGGTGATTTTCCCAGCCCCCTAACTTTTTTTCAGAGGTCCTCTGAAATATCTCATCAAGATACAAGTCATAATTCATTATTAGTTTGGTTTAGTTTACTTTATTGTCACTGCACAACAAAACGAAATTAAATGCCATCTTCAATATACATTATAACTATAAAAATAAAACACAAACACACATCCTTCATATTCTATACAATTGAATTGAAAACCCAATATTGCATTAATATTACACTATGCCAGTGATGGCTAACCTTTTTGCCATTGTGTGCCAAGAGTGGGGGAGCGTGGGGGGTTACGAGGATTGTGCCCACACCAATAATTCTATGTGCCCTGCCCCCACGCACATGACCACCCTGCTCCCCCCGCTCCTGGCACGCGATGGCCCGGTGGACCCGTTTTTCTCTCTCCCCAGGCTCCAGAGCCTTTCTAGGAGTCTGGTGAGGGTGAAAATGGCTTTCCCCATCCCCCAGAGGCCCTCTGGAAGCCTGAAACGGCCCATTTGCCAACTTCTGGTGGGACTGGAAGGCCCGTTTTTTGCTATTCCCAGGCTCCATAGTCTTTCTAGGAGTCTGGGGAGGGCGAAAACAACCTTCCCCCACCCGAGGCCCTCCGGAGGCCAAAAACGGCCCATTTGCCAACTTCCGGTGGTCCCAGAAGGCCCGAAAATTAGCTGACCAGCGCGCACATGCATGCTGGAGCTGAGCTCGCATGTCCACCAATATGGCTACACATGCCACCTGTGGCACACATGCCATAGGTTTGCCATCACAGCACTATACAGTAAAATTCAATATATTTACTGTTCTGGAATAGAAGCTGTTTTTCAGCTTATTTGTCCTTGCTTTTATTATCTTGTTTCATCTGCCAGATGGTAATAGTTCAAAAAAAAAAAAAAGGGTGCTCCAGATGAGATGGATCTTTAAGAGTGTTTTGAACATTCTTAAAGCAGAGGGAGCTATAAAGCTCTTCCAAAGAGGAGAGAGGGCAAGTAATGATCCTTTGGGCAATGATGTTAACCCTCTGGAGTGCTGTCCTATCTGTCCCTGTGCAATTGGCAAACCATACATAGGTGTAGTAAGTTAAAATACTCTCTATGGTGCAATGGTAGAAGGTCACCAGCAGTTTTTTCATTCAGTTGTTGTTTCCTGAGAAGTCTCAGGTAGTATAATCTCTTCTGGGCCCTTTTGACCAGTGCTGCAATGTGAGTGCCCCAGGTCAGGTCCTCTTTTATGATAACACCCAGAAACTTAAAATTTGCCACTTGTTCCACTTGGTCTCCATTGATAAGCAAGGGCTGGATGTCTGATCTATTCCTTCTATAGTCCACTATAAGCTCCTTGGTCTATTGTCTCCACACCACGAAAGCAACCACTTCACCTTATCTTCTTCGTCTTTCCTGGTATTTGCTCCAGTAAACCTGAAGCTGTCTTCTTTAAAATCTTCACAATTTCCCACGGAATTCATTCTGAATTGTGGTATTGGCTTTCTATCTATCACCAACCGCATTCAACATGTAGTCCTAAATGGAACTGCATCTACATGGAGAGAAGTATGCAGTGGAGTACCCCAAGACTCCATTTTAGGCCCAGTACTCTTCAATATCTTCATCGATTTGAATGAGGGGATAGATAGGGAACTCATCAAATTTGCAGATGACACCAAGTTAGCAGGAATAGCCAACACTCTAGAAGATAAGCTTAAGATACAGAAGGATCTTGACAGACTTGAACATTCGGCGCTATTTAACAAAATGAAATTCAATAGTGAAAAAAGTAAGGCTCTACATTTAGGCAAGAAAAACAAAATACATAGGTACAATATATGTGTACCTTGCTCAATAGTAGTAACTGAGAGGGATCCTGGAGTCCTAGTGGACAACCATTTTAATATGAGTCAGCAGTGTGCAGCAGCTGCCAAAAAGCCAACACAGTTCTAGGCTGCATAAACAGAAGGATAGAATCAAGATCACATGAAGTGTTAATATCACTTTATAATGCCTTGGTAAGGCCACACTTGGAATACTGCATTCAGTTTTGGTCGCCACGATGTAAAAAAAGATGTTGAGACTCTAGAAAGAGTGCAGAGAAGAGCAAAAAAGATGATTAGAGGACTGGAGGCTAAAACATATGAAGAACTGTTGCAGGAACTGGGTATGTCTAGTTTAATGAAAAGAAGGACTAGGGGAGACATGATAGCAGTGTTCCAATATCTCAGGGACTGCCACAAAGAAGAGAGAGTCGAGCTATTCTCCAAAGCACCTGAGGGTAGGACAAGAAACAATGGGTGGAAACTAATCAAGGAGAAAGCAACTTAGAACTAAGGAGAAATTTCCTGATAGTTAGAACAATTATTCAGTGGAACAACTTGCCTCCAGAAGTTGTGAATGCTCCAATACTGGAAGTTTTTAAGAAGATATTGGATAACCATGTGTCTGAAGTGATATAGGGCTTCCTGCCTAAGCAGGGCGTTGGACTAGAATACCTCCAAGGTCCCTGCCAATTCTATTCTATTCTATTCTATTCTATTCTATTCTATTCTATTCTATTCTATTCTATTCTATTCTATTCTCTTAAATTGTGTCAGATCCATTCCCACTATTTTTCACTTTGGAACTTTATTCTGTCTGTTCCATTTGTATCTAGATTCCAACATATCTCTATATTAATGCTATATATTATGCCCTATTCCTTCCATAAATGCCCATTTCAGGTGAGACTTGCTTGTTTCATATCACTTTAGATAATTCAAAATAGCTTTTTAAAACCCCTTTGTCCTTTTATTCCTACTTTCTCTTCCCTATCTTCAATATCCGATTTTAAAATCTGTCTCTGTCTCTCTTTCCCTTCCCACCCCCCTCTATATTGGGCAGTCAATTGATATTAACTTCACCACTGACTACTTACCTGTAACTTAAATGCTGAAATCTATCACTATAAAGTGACACTATTCTACAAGTATTCTATATTCCCAATGCATTAATTTTCTCCCAAACAGTCCTCCTTAATCTCCAAACACATTAACTTGCTCCCAAGCAGAGTTCTTTTGAAAGATGATATTCCCAAGAGACGTATGAAAATTTATATTTTTATATACTGTATTTAACAGAAACAAATGTCTACCTGAAAAGAAAAAAGGTTCTCAAGCAACCCTAACTAGTTAGGCACAATGTGCCTTCTAATAATAAAAAGGAAGCTTCTGTATTATAATCAAAAATAAAAATGTTGATCAGCTGTATTGAAAGTTTTAGAATGATATCTGGTGATCATTACCCTTGCCTAACATAACACTCTATACATCTCCACATTTTAAACAAAAACTTCATTTTTCCTTCTCTACCTATTTCTATCTTTCATAGATATAAATATAGCCAAACATTTTAAACCTTCCAGTAAAGATTAGTTCAGTTAATATAATTCAGATTATTAATCTGCTAGCAGTTTCACATGAGAGCAATAATTAAAATAATAATAATTTCTTATATAATTTAATATATCAACATTTTAATAAACAAATGTTATATTATTACTGAAACTAAGAATTGCTTCTTGTAATGGTTTTGTAACACCTAGGTGTTAAAGAGAGAAGAAAGGAAGATGGAGAAATTACGAGAGAAAAAAGTATATATAAATTTATTCTTTAAAAACATGAATTTATCCATAGAAACGTGAATATTTGAAAAAAAAATCACCATCTATGTTTCTAATTAGTAAGCAAGATTAATACCTCCTAACTTGAGTTATATGTTTATATTTTAATTATTAAGATATGGTAATTACTTTAGATTTGTTGTATATGATTTACTATATAAATATCCATTGGCCCCAATGTTAGATTAATACACAATTTAAATAAGAAATAGTTACAGATACATGGAAAAAGTATCAATTTGAGCTATATTAATCACATCAATATTTTCTATAATTGTATAAGTTGTGTTCAATACATGCTTGCAATATCAATGTATGCATAACAAATATAAACAATTATAATATTTGATATAGGGATTGTCCTTTCTTGCATCTTGATTTATGCTTTATAATGATTATCTACTATAGACAGAAACAGTATTTCTAAACTCAGAAATTTACTGGAGGCATTTAGCAGAACCTTGCCTAAAAATATAATGATTTTTCATCTTTATTCTCCCCCTTCAAAAGGTTTCACTGCTCCTGATGTTTAATGTTATGCAAAGACATGTTTCGGCCAGTGAATATCGCCTTATGGTTATACTTCTGCAAATAACCTGCTGTGAGCTGATAAAAGGATTAATGCAACCAAAATTCTTAATCTGTGAAATTACAAATTAAATTCTCATATTAAAAATACCACCCTGAGGTATTTTTTGTGGTTTTAATTCCCCTCTGGTGTTCTGCATACGTTGCACTTGTTAATGACTAGGAGAAGACTGTCTCTGTTGGCAGTCTGCTGTACAGTGATAATGTGTCGGTATTTAGTGCCCTGATAGGACTGGACTTAACCACCAATTGATTAACTAAGTGGCAAGTTGGTAATAAAGCCATATTAACTGGAAAAAAAAATACTATAGGATTCATAAACTATTGAAATCCTAATAGAATAATAAGTACCAGCATTCACATTTCAGATGTTAAGCTATATATTTAGTTTTTTACCCTAACTAAATGGAAAAATAAACAAATGATTTTTTTTTCCCCAAATGGTACTTGTTAAATGGTATTGAGGCATTGTAAAACAATCTGATTGCTTTATGTTATGGGGAAATTTCAAATTGTGAATATCGTTATGCACGAATCATATGAAACAAGTATATAACAAACTATATTAGTCAGAGTAAAGCAACTCTTGAGCTCTGGACCTCAAGTCTGACCACCATCTCCACCAACTTCCTTAAAAAATGGAAGATTGGAAATTAGACGGAAACTATCCAGATGGTTGAGTCCTGTAATGATTTGTTAAGGAGATGGTGCACTGCAGCTTCCTTCAGGGCTGAAAGACTACATCCTCTCAAAGAGAGGAAAACATCACTCCATAATTCAACCATAGATAATCTTCTGGCCTGAATCTAACTGTTCACAACCCCATGGACCACAGCATGCCTGGCCACCTATCCTCCATTATCTCCCAGATTCTGCCCAAACCCATGCCCACTACATTGGCTATCTAACCATCTCATCTTCTGCAGTTCCCTTCTCCTCTTTTATCTTCAAAATATATGTATGTATGTATGTATGTATGTGTACACACACACACACACACACACACACATATATATATATGTCATCTGTCTATCTATCTATCTAATCAAAAGTTAAAAATACAAGAAAAGAAAAATAGAAAAAGATAGAAATAAGAATGTTTCCAATCTTTTTTACAGTGGCTTTAAATTTTCTTCTTTACTTCCTCTTTTACAGCTTCGGGTGTTGAGGGAGATACAAAGTTCTGGTTCTCGTTCTTCTGGCGGCCTCAACCATTGTTAATTGATATTGTTGTAGTGTGTGTTTGATTTGTCTCTCCATCTTTTTCTGACTCTGCCTTGTGTTCTTTGACCTTCTCCTCTTTTTGCATATATGCCAATTTTAAGTACAATTATCAATCTGGCCCTTACTCTAGGGTTACAACAAAACTTCTTCTTCTTATAATATATATATTCTAATCATAAATACCACAAATCATAAATTTGGTTTCCCCCCCCACCCCCCTGCAAAAGTCCATTAGTCCATCATACAAAATATACTAAGATGTTTCTAGTCAGCAATAAACATAGATATTGTCTTTGCTCTGATTAAAAATCAATTTACCACTTCAGAAATTTCCATCATCTTCACCAACCATAAATATGTCCATTTATGTACATACAATATACAATAACCTTGCTGCCATTATCATATACAAAAAAAGTTCACATCACATCAAATATTCCACCTTAGTCCTGGGGGTGGCAGTACGCAACAATAAGCCAATGTCATGGCATCTCAATAAATAAGTGAATAATCTTAGATATTAACCTAATTTCTGCTTTGTATTTCTTAGCTATTTTGGAAACCATTATTCCAGAAATACAAACAGAAGTAGCATTTGAGAATCCAACATTAGAGTATTGTTTTGGATACTGAAGCTGCTTTAAAAAGTACTGCAGTTTATAAAGTAAAAAAGCACTAAATATGTAAATTTAAATTTTCTCCCTTTCTCTTTATGGCATCCCATATAATTCTCTTAATCACATGCATAATTAAATATAAAGATAATATTAAATATAAAGATAATTATTTATAGGCTCAACAACAGAAAAGGAAGAGAAAAACCAATTTTTCTTCATTTGTCTCTCTTTCTTTCTTCTTCTCTTTCATACAGAAAACTCTTTTTCTATGTAGATGTTTTGGTATACTCACTATCAGTTAGATCCCATAGCCGGGGAGGAAGATCACTGAAGTACTCATGGCTCAAAGCTGCCTGTGCTGACAATCTGTTTTTGGGGAAACACTGGAGTAATTTGGAAGCCAGATCTTCTGCATGATCCACGTAGCTTAATCTATAATAAAGGCAGATTCAAATTAGCCAATGTATATACACATACATATTCACAATTATAGTCCATTTACATGACCATATTTTACTATTTATTACAAAATAAAATGAAATAAATTAAAATTGTACACCTCAGAATGCTTCAAAAGTATTTCAGGCAGAACTCTGGTAAGCTTTGGGAAACATGACCACTAATAATAAAATGTTAGAACTGCAATACAAAATTTCTTATTATAAACTTAGTTTGCAATCCATATTAAATTAGTTGCCTTTCATTCCACTGAAAACAGTGAGACTAAACAATGATATTTTTAGAATGGAATATAGAAAAACTTACAGTATAGTTCTAAAAATAATTACTCAGAAATAAATTTCAGTGAATTCAATGAAACCTTTTCAGATAATTAAGTATAGGATTACAACCTTCATGTAAGAATTCTTTGCTTGCTCAGATAACCAAATCACACCCTGCTTTCATCAATAGATTGATCTCTGGGAAGTAGCAACACATGAAGTAGGATATCTGAATCTGTCACACACAAGATTTTTAGTTACTCCAGCTGCTATAAAAGAGCCTGAGAAATTGTCGTTGTTTGTCCATTTGCTGGGTGGGATACTTTTGCCCACTACCTAGAATTTTTTTAAAGTTGTGGTTGTGTGATGGGCAACAGGGAGATCTTGCTCTCCCCTTTTCACCTTTGTGGGTGGTTTTCCCCAGCAAGGAAGGTGAAATAAGCCACATTTACTGTATCTCTTATAGACGGTTTTCTATAATTTTATTTTCCTGGGCTCCAAGATCACCGCAGATGGGGACTGCAGCCAAGAAAGTAAAAGACACTTGCTCCTGGGGAGGAAAGCTATGGCAAATCTAAACAGCATACTATAATGCCATCACAATCTCAAGGGTGAAGAGAGATAAGGAACTCCAGCAAATAGTTTCTGTGGCATGTGGAAATTAGCTCCATACTTAAGACCAGAGCTGTTTGGATTAATTTTAATTCTCGTAGGGGTTCATTTGTGCAGCTTGCATAGTTTGTACAGTATGCTTAGCCCCTCTCTCATAACCTGGTTAAGCATACTGCACAAGCAGGGTCTTTGAATCCAATGTAACCATTGTATATAACATGTCTACATTTTTCCTCTACTTTCCACTGAATTTTCTGCTCACAATGCAGACTCAAGTCAAAGTGTGCTTTCTGGAGCTCATTTTTGCAAGAAGAGGTATTGCATCTATTCAAGAAATAGGAATTGTTACATTGAGTGTTCCCTGACATTTACAAGAAAGCACTTCAGAGTGAAGGGCACTAGTAAAATGTCAGTACATAAAATTCTCACAAAAGCACAGTTGGTAGGCTCTGGGAGGAAAAAAATATTCAAATGTCTATGTATAGTATCTCATAAAATAATGATGATCTAATCTAAAGTACCTTGGAAAATCTGTGTAATTTAAGTAAGACAAATCCAGTCAAATGTGGCTGCATGACTTTAAGACTCTTTCCAAATAATAATAATAATAATTTACTATAAATAATAATTTATTATGAAAATATAAATAATAATTTATTATGAAAATAAAATATTTACTTAAAATTAAGCATTAAATTAATCATATCCAGTAACATAACTCAACATTAAAAAAACTAAGATCATGGCATCCAGCCGTCTCAATTCCTGACAAATAGATGGGGAAGAAATGGAGGTAGTGACAGATTTTATTTTCCTGGGTTCCAAGATCACCGCAGATTGGGATTGCAGCCAATAAATTAAAAGACACTTGCTACTGGGGAGGAAAGCTATGGCAAATCTAAACAGCATACTAAAAAGCAGAGACATCACCCTGCCAACAAAAGTGTGTATAGTCAAGGCTATGGTTTCCCCAGTTGCAATGTATGGCTGTGAAAATTGGACTGTAAGAAAGGCTGAGCGCCAAAGAATTGAGGCCTTTGAACTGTGGTGCTGGAGAAGATTCCTGCGAGTCCCTTGGACTGCAAGGTGATCAAACCGGTCAGTCCTAGAGGAGATCAACCCTGATTGCTCTTTAGAAGGCCAGATCCTAAAGATGAAACTCAAATATTTTGGCCACCTAATAAGGAAGGACTCACTGGAAAAGAGCTTAATGCTGGGAAAGATTAAGGATAAAAGAAGAATGGGACAGCAGAGAATGAGGTGGCTGGATGGAGTCACTGAAGCAGTAGGCGTGAGCTTAAATGGATTCTAGAGGATGGTAGAGGACAGGAAGGCCTGGAATAACGTCCATGGCATTGCGATGGGTCGGACACGATTTCGCAATTAACAATAACAACTATCCAGTAATATTGCTATACAAAAACAAAGAATATAATTCAGGTGCAACAGGAACTGAAATAGAAAAGTCTTTATTATTTGACCAGCATGATGATACCAAGTTACAGGTATTTTATAACTTATGACTGAAAGCTTAGCGACTGCTCCAAGCGTACGATGGACCTTCCCAAAGCTACTTATGACCTGGTTTCAAAGTTCTGATGGCTGCCCTCCACAGACATATGATTGGATTTTGGCATTTGGCAACCAGCCTGTTTGCAGCATCCTGTAATGACATGACTACAATTTTTGGCATTTTTGCCAGAAACTAATGTCATAAATTGCCCAGTGTCTAGATTGTAATGACTGCAGGAGTATTGGGATGGCTGGAACGTCAAGGGCCAGTTGTAACCACCATTCATTCAGAACAATTGTAATTTTAAATGGTTGCTGAACAGTTGTGGGTCAAAGAGTACCTGTATCTGAATGTCTTCTGACTGAAAAAAATAATGATTTGGTAAAGAACATGATGATTATCATAATAAACAAAGGAAGGACAGATGTTATCATGCACAGGGTAGTTCTGAATTCAAGATACATCAGTTATTAAATAACGAAGAACTCCAATTTATTTTCAAAACTAAGACCTGACTATTTAAAAACAATATCAAGCCACTACTTCAGATTTAAAATTCAAGTAAGACTCTGAAAATAATCCACAATGTATCATTTTCTTATTCAGCAGAATATTTCTTTCTTTCCTTTTTTTTCCCAGCAAGCATTGGAGAGATCAAATATCTAGTGTTAATGAATAACCAGGATTCAAAAATAAAATGTTTAACTAAAGTTACCCTGATTTGGTTAGAATATATAGTGCAGGAGTGTCAAACTGATCCGGCCCATGGGGGTGCTTAGATTTGGCCCGATGAGCTGCTCTGGAAACAGCAAACGACTGGCCTGCGGTGCTTCTGCCAGTGAAAACAGAGCTTGGGAGGGCCACATGCAGTTTTCCCAAACTCAATTTTCTGCTGCAATGGCCTCCTGCAGCCCTCTGACAGCAAAAATGGAACCTGGGATGCTGTCCTGGGCTCAGTTTTCACTGGCAGAGGGCTGCAGGAGGCCGTCGCAGCTGAAAACAGAGCCCAGGAGGGCTGTGCATAGCCCTGGTGGGCTCAGTTTCCGCTGGTAGAAGGCTGCAGGACGTCGAGCTGGCGATGCCCACCCCAGCCACACCCACTCAGGCCCCCCAAGGTCAAACACAACCTTGATGTGGACTTCAATGAAATCAAGTTTGACACTCCTGATGTAGTGTAAGTAATCCTTGATTAACAATGACTATTCAAAGTTACATCAGTGCTGAATGACAGGGACTTATGATGGATCCTCATAATTGAGACTGTAGCAGCAACCCTATGATGATAATTCAGGCACTTGGCAATCTGCTTGCAATAGCATTTTGCAGTCATGTGATTGCCATTTATGACTTTCACTGCTGGCTTCTACAAGCAAAGGGGCGCTAACAGGAGGCCCCAAATGGCAATCATGACTGCAGGATTCACCTAACATAAACTGGGACTTACAGAACTGCTCTTATAAATCAGCATAGCCATGGGACTACTGTATGTCCTTATGACTGCATCCCTTAGTGATGGGTTTCCCTGTTCCAATTTTCACCTATCCAATTGATAGGTGAAGTAATAACCAACAATTTATACTTGGTATGCTATCTAATAGTGCTCTATTATTTTGAAGTCTCTCCAAGCACCAAGAAATACATACATTTCTGTTACGAGGGGTTTGTTTTGTGTCTTCAGAATAGGAGGTAGAATGTTTTGAATGTTTTTTGAGAACTACAGTAGTTTAGACAACATTTCTACGCATTTAATTGACAACTATGGAAAATGGAATTCTGGATTTAATAAGCTTTTGGTTTGATTCAGCAAATCATTTCGGATTCCTTCAAAATGTCTGAATATAAGTATAAAATATTTAGGATCTTAACCACACAAGGGCAGATTCCATTTTTAAAACTGGTTTCAGACACATATTTGCAGTGAAGGAAATTCCTTACTTATTCCTGGTCATTCTGACTAACATTATTGCTACCATTATTCTAGTTCAAGCCTGAACTTAATAACTAAGAGGCTATATATACATTTCTTGCTATCTTTGTCTTCCAATTTGAAATGCTGCTGACATGCTGCCAGATATGTATGAGCTCTTGATAGCTTAAGCACTTCAAGAAAATGAAAACTAATACTAGTGAATGCTGTGCTGCCAATGTGCCAATGCTGTGTTCTTAGTAAGGATCCCTATTAAATATATTTAATTTGATCTAGAAAACTCTTTGTCCCAAATGCCAGACATGAAAAAAATTACTTAAAAAACACTGCTTCCATGTATGTGGGCCTGAACAGTGTGTTACTGTCCAATCCATGGTCAATGGTAGTAATGAGTCAGCAGGGTTATTTGACTGTTACCACTTTAAGAGACTGTATTATAAGAGAAGCCCTGTTGGGGCGTATCTCTCTCTCCGTGTGTGCTTCCGTGCTGTAAATTGCTGATTGATTGTTTGACCTTTGGCTAGTACGTGTATGTATATTCTTTTGTAGAGATAAACCACTATTTATTATTACAAACCTGTTTGATGTTCTTGCTCCTGGGTTGTCTCACATAGTCACACTGTGCGCACTCTGACAGTATTCTCCTTCCTGTTAATCT